TCAGCATTTCTTTTCTTCCACTTCTATGCTCAAGCCAGAAGGACACATGGTAGCCATCTCTCTCCCATTCATGTCATACATTTAAAGTAACTATTCTTTAAAGTGGTTCCATTCTGTGTTTAGATGTGGCCTTATCTTTCTCTTGATTAAATTGTTAAACAACTCTCTTAAGTTGTCTCTTTGCCTAAGAATGCTCTTTCTGTTCACCAGACAGCTGATCAATGATTTCTCTAAAAAGCAAATCTGATATCACATTCTATTCAACCATATTTAGCTAATGTGATGGCATACTACACCCTTCGTATTAGGGGCTCTGTTTATTCTTCATTCATCTATTCTGTTGACTCATCAAATGCTTACTGGGTTTCTACTATAGCCAAACTTTAGAGATACAACAGAAAATAAACAGACAAGAGTCTTATTTCCTACTCTCTTTTAACCCATCCTACCATTACAAATCTCTGCTTTCTAGAAATAGTGAACCTTTTCATACAAATTTCTACTCACTTTTCAAATTTCATTTCAAATGTGAATGTCTTTCGTCATTTCTGACTAACTTGTACACTTGCAAGCGCTATCATTTGGTTTCCACAGCTACTGTTTTACTAACTGTGAGTTTCTTGAGAACAGGGAATATCTTTTGACATGGGTAGCAAATTCAATGCCTATATTACATGAAATACTGGGTGGATGAAATGACAAAGTTCTCTACATTGTTGTTTCCAGTAATCAAACAGCTTTCTTTTTAAATATTCCAAAACTGCATACACAACGCAGTGATTTTGTACCAGCTGTTACTCCCAAATACTTCACAAAACGAGATTTTTACTGCCCTATATGGACAAAAGTCTTGGAGAGGTTCTGTCACCTTTCTATTTAACATTAATTTTGGCCTTTGTTTATGACATAATTAAAATTTGTCTTCTGATTGTGAGCATTTTAGAATAATTGAAAAAGCAAAGTAATATGTATTTCAAGACACACTATAGCAGCAAACATAGATTTTTAAGGAGAGGAATATTAGATCGTCATAGAACTTACTAAGATATTTTGAAATACCAAATCATATACCCTAATTCATTATTAATATTTAAAAACTATCAAAGACATTTTGGTACTTTTAAAGTATTAAAGTCAGGTCTGGCAACATCTTAAGAAATATATATGAGATTCAGGACATTACTGAATGTAATGAAGGCAAGACTTCATTTTTGGACAAAATATTGTCTCTTTAATTAATGAAAGAACAAAATGTGAATCAGAAAAACACTATGAATGTGACCCAAAAGCAAAAATAAAAAAATTAAGATGTTGCAGACTAATTTTTTCCATTTAAACAGACTAGAACATCAATATAACACAAGAGGTTGACCTTCTATCAGTACATAGACGACTTTGTGTTTGCATACAAAGACATTGCTCAACCCACATTTGGCTCCTGGAGCCAAGATCTACCCTCGCTGGAGCAACTCCCACTAAAGCATATGGACAGAAAGGGGAAAATTAATTTTTAAAGTCAGATGTTTGTTCCATAGACCTTCAATGTGTGAGTCAGCACAGAACTCCACTTTTATTCATTTTTAATGAGAACAGAGAAATCAAGACAAAAGAAGATTTTAGCAGGTATTAAGGTGATTTCTCATCTCCTGACATTATTTTAGAAAATCCTCTAGAATTCAGGGACCTTCCTCCTATAAGGTATTATATCTCTAGTTCCCTAAATAAGACCCAAAAAAGGCACACCTCAGTGCCTTTTGTAGCTAAAATGTTCTGCTTATAAACCAAGCATGCATTCAGACACTCTTTTATTACGTCCTAGTAGTCTGTGCCTCTAGTCTTGCACAAATTATATGTTTCCTGATAAAAGAAAAAGTGTTTTGTTGTTGTTGTTTTTCTTTTTTTGTTTTACTCTAAGGTGCTAGTGCAATGAAAAAGCAACATAAGCATCACATAAGACGCTTATTCACAGGACTGACCTTTAACTCCTAAACCTACTAAACCCATACTGGGATTAGCTATGATTTAGCATGAGCTACCTCATCAGGGTCAGGATCTGATTACCAGAAGACAACTGGAAGAAATCCCTTAACAATACAAATATTCTGAGTGTTGTAGTTAAGCATTGGAGGTCAAAAAGCCAATATCCATTCTCTTGATTCAGCACCTGATATTCTGAGAAACGATGTATCATCATACTAGACAGAAGTATGTACACTAGCTTTAGAATGCAGGTGTTATAGTAGCAAGTTTCTATCTTACTACCTACTACAAAGGCAATTGTTCAAACCTGGAAAGTAATAAAATAACAATGCTACTCTCTACTTCATATGTTTGATATGAGGATTAAATGAATAACTGCCAAGGGCACAGGCAATTGTTTAGCATATATTAAATTAAATTTACCTATTCTTTTTCTAAAACATAAAATGATAATTTCAATTCTATAATTGGGTTTATGACAGTAGAAAAAAAAAGCATTTTTTTCTTTTTACAATGAATAATTTCTCCTGTAAGTTACTAACAAAGCACTCCATTTTCTACTCATATCCAAGTCTGGTTGACTTACTCCTTCTCTTTCGTGAAACACTAATTCTATTGCTCACTTTATAACAAAACAAATCATATTCAGCTCCTAGAATTATTGAATTATTGAGCTGAATCTATACACTGCTCACAATGTAAATATACATACAAAGCAAAATTTAATTTCCATAGACATCCTTCATACTAAATATATTGGTCATATTTTACAAATTAAAACTCTAAGGTTCAGAAAGTAGAGATATCTTAATCAAGTTATTAAGCTAGTTAGCAAATTATCTACTTGTTGGCATCCTGTCTTTTAAAATGATAGGTGTGTTGGGCTGAGGGTATAACTCTGTGATAGAGTGCCTGTCAAGCATGTAGGAGATTCTAGATACAGTCACCAATGCAACAATAAAAGTAAGTGAGGAGCTTCTGCATATAACTGGTATGGCCATGTATTTGGTGATATAGTAAAAAAAAAAAAAAAAAGTATTATATGAGGCCAGACATCATGGTACATGATTTTAATCTCAGCACTAGAGAGGCAGAGACAAAAATAACATAGATAGGGACAGCAGAGGCAGATCTATATTTCCATGCGTTTGAGGACAACCTGGTTTAAGAGTTCCAAGCCAGCCAGGGCTACATAATGAAACCCTCAAAAAAAATACTATAGTCTAAATATCAAAAAACAGAGTATCAATCTTTTCATTATAGGTGACATGTGGCATGGTGTTAAAGCCACAGGACTTCAACTCAGAGGGCCTAATTTGGAATTCCTTTTCTGACACTATCTTTGTGACCTACTAACATACATATAAAGAGTTGTTATGAAGATTAAAGCAAACTTTGAAGCTACTCAACATCATAAACATTCACATTGCTGCACTTCAAATTATAAGCTTCTTAGTTAAATTCATTTCTATATTTTAATACAAGTACATTATGTAATATAGTACAATAATACAATATGCTTTTTAAAGTATCTAAAATACCTATTGGTAAAGCCTATTTTTGTTTGTTTGTTTGTTTGTTTGTTTGTTTTTTGAGACAGGGTTTCTCTGTATAGCCCTGGCTGCCCTAGAACTCGCTATGTAGACCAACCAGTCTGGCCTCAAATGTGGGGATCTGTCTGCTTCTGTCTCCCAAGTACTGGAATTAAAGATATACTTCACCACCACCCAGCTATTCTAAAGCATAGTTTTAATGAGTATATTTTTAATATTTTAGTGAGCTATAAAAGTTCCTTTAAAATATTCCATCATGAGGAGTGGGGGATTAATATAATAAAAATATGTTGTATGCATGTATGAAATTTTTGAAGAATTAATTAAAATATTTTCAAAATTCCTTCACTAAATTCAACAATATGCCTTTGAAATAACGACAAATCTGAATTTCTTGATTTCTGTGTGTTAGACACTTTACATTTAACAATCCATTTAGCTTTTGCAGCAGCCTTGAGAAGAAACAGGGTCATTGAAATGAGAGGAATAGCACAGTACAGCTTAGAGGCAGCACCAGATCTTGGTTCCATATCTAGCTTACATTAATTGTAAAGTTCATGCTCCTGTTACTATATAAGGCACGATCTTTAGCTTTTTGGCTTGAGAGCCACAAAAAGCTAGGTATTCATTTATATAAAATATAACTACTTTAGTAACATGGAATAGTACCAGGAAATTAAGACACCTATCTAGATAGAAGGAAATTTAATTTGATCTCTCTCTCTCTCTCTCTCACACACACACACACAAATAAAGTCTATTTTCCACTCACTTAAAAATTATATAGGACTTCTGAGATGGCTCAATGGGTACAGGTACTTTCCACAAAACCAAATATCTTGAGCTCAATTTCCAGGACCCATACAGTAGAAGCAGAGATCTGACCCCCACATGAGTCCATGGCATGCATCCCCCATCCTCATACATACAATAAACATTTTTTAAAAAGGCAGCAAAACAAAAACAAACAATAAAATGTATATGCAAATTTGAGACTTTTGATAATAAAACCAAGAATATGTTTCCTTAACATCCAGTCGTATGTTAGTAAACACAATAAAGATATTCCACTAAAAATGCCTGAAAAGGAACCCAGTAAATAGAATCCTTCAGTTTTTTTTTCCAGGAAACTATCACAAAGCCCAGGTCCTTTCAATGAACTAAAGCAGAAAAAAAAAAGCTTTATAAACCTGACAATAAATACACAAAGCAATAGAATTAAAGTATATAAAACATTTTATAAATCTTTGACATAGGAGCTTTCCCCTTTAATTAAATAACTGATTCTCCATAGCAGAAGCCTTTGTTTTTTCTCATGTATGTATATATGTATGTACATAAGTGCATATGTATGTATATAAAATTTTAGTCATTAGCCACTCCCTACTGTTTTACTCCAACTCCTCCAAGTTCCCCAACACAGTTTTGCTTTACAAAAATACAGTAACTGCATGCTTAGATGCTTACCTGTTACAGAGACTGCTAAGGGCTCCATGTGGACTGCAGTGACATGGCAGACAGAGACCAACAGTGTGATTCAGGTAAAAGCCCTCTTTACAGGTTTCACAATGAAGTCCCTGATAACCCAGATGACAATCACATTGCCCTGTGGTCTGGTTGCAGCGTTTCACATCCAAGCTTCCAACCTCAGAACAGTTACACATATACTCTGAAAACAGAAAAAAATCCAATATCAAACTCTGATTTTGTTAATAAATATTTGTGATAAAATTTTTAACTATTTTTATTAATTACAGTTTATTTACTTTGTATCCCCACCCCCGTATCTCTCTCCCAATCCTACCCTCCCTCCCTCTTCCCCACCTGTGCCCCAGTCCACTAATAGGAGAGGTCCTCCTCACCTTCCCTCTGATCATAGTCCATCAGGTCTCATCAGGAGTGGCTGTACTGTCTTCCTCTGTGGCCTGGTAAGGCTGTTCCCCGCTCAGGGGGAGGTGATCAAAGAGCAGGCCAATCAGTTCTTGTCAGAGACAGTCCCTGTCCCCATTACTATGGAACCCACTTGGATACTGAAATGCCATGGGCTACCTCTGTGTAGGGGTTCCAGGCCATCTCCATGAGTGGTCCTTGGCTGGAGTATCAGTCACAGGAAAACCCCTGTGCCCAGCTCTCCTTGTGGAGCTCATGTCCTCTCCAGGTATTACTATCTCCCACTTCTTTCATAAGATTCCCTGCACTCTGCCCAAAGTTTGGCTATGAGTCTCAGCACCTGCCTAGATACCCTGGAGGGTAGAGTCTTTCAGAGGCCCTCTGTGGTAGGCTCCTGTCCTGTTCCCTGTTTTCTCCCTCCTCCAATTTCCATCCTCTTTGCCTTACTGAATGGGAATTGAGCATCTTAGCCAGAGTCCTCCTTCTTGATTAGCTTCCTTAGGTATACAGATTTTAGTATGTTTATCCTATATTATATGTCTAATATCCACTTATGAGTGAGTATATACCCTGTGTGCCTTTCTGCTTCTGGGATTCCTCACTTGGGATTATCTTTTCCAGTTTCCATCATTTACCTGCAAATTTCATGATTTTCTCGTTTTTTTATCACTGAGTAATATTCCATTGTGTAGATGTACCACAATTTCTGTATCTATTCCTCAACTGAGGGACATCTGGGCTGTTTCCAGCTTCTGGCTATAACAAATAAAGCTGCTACAAACATGGTTGAGCAGATGTCCTTGTTGTATACTTGAGTGTCTTTTGGATATATGCCTAGGAGTATGATAAATTTTTAAGGCTAGAAAAAAACTTAACTCTAGTTTTTACTTTCTATACTATTCAGTTTATTTAAATTGGAAAATATATATAGCAGAGTACAAAACACACTTATAGTTTATAATTATAAAGCTGATATTCTCAGTTTCCTCTCCAGTACTCTTTAGTATATTTCCTTACCCTAAGCCAGTGTTTGCATGTGTGTGTCTCTGTGTGTATACTCATGCATGCTCCTGAACTCCAAGGAGAGGCTTATCTGCATGGCTCTTGGAATACATGCTGGAAATGACAACATGTTAAATAATAAATAACCCTACTGTGAGCAGCAAAGTCCTAAGGCTCAGGTAACTAACCCCAGTAAGTTATACAAAGTTGTATAAAACTGGGTTGCAGCTGGAATCAGAAGTTCAATGCTTCATCATGAAAGAAATAGACAATTAAACTCTAAGGAGAGGGAAAGTGAACAAGCCCAGAGAAGGAAGTACCAGCTCACCGTGATCAGAAACCAATCACAATTCCAATATCTTTTCTAAATTAAAGTACTTAGAGCCTAAACATTTTTTCAAACAATTCTTTAGATGAAAATGATTTTGAAGCCCCTACTTTTAGCCTTCTAATGCAAACGCTTGTTTGGGAAGTTTTGCTATTACTTCTACTCATTTTGGCAAAGGGAAAGTATTTTTTAATAGTTTAATAAAGTATTAACAGAGGACTTTGCAAGCTGGTACAAAAGATGCCCCTTAAATTAACTGTAGGAAATATAAATAACATGCTGTGTATATTCTACAGACCAGCTTCTTTCATTCCCAAATAGGAATAAACTGAGTAAAAGAAGACATATTTATGAATAGTTAAAGCACTATATAAAATGGCATTGTAATAATAAAATTTAACTTGGGAAAGGAACTTTAATAGTATTCTTGATTACTTAAAAAAATTTACCAGATAGCAGCAAATGTAGAGTCTTACATAGAAAGTTATAAAGGTGTTTAATTCTGTATTTTAGAAAAAGAAATAAAAATTTAAAGTAGCAGATCTGCACAAGTAAAAGAAAAATAGGATTCCACACAAAATCCACATTTGGCCAACGTCCTGTGCTTTCTCAGTTCCTAAGCTTTGATGTCAGTTCATTTTTCCCCATTTTCTTTTAATCTATAGATGTAATGAATATACTAGTGGATAATTTGTTTTCTTGTGTATATTTCAAGCATAGGTAGTGAACTATAAAACCTAATGGAGAGTTCAAACATTTTTAGTTCCAAGATTAGGGAAAGGAATCAGCTTTACCTCAAAATCAGGATTCTTACTTTTGGCTTGGGGATTGCAATTCAGTGGACCATTTTTCTAGCATGTGTGAGGCCCTAGACGCAAGCCACAGTAAACACACTCATACAGGCACAAAGACACACACAGACACACACAGACACACACACACACACACACACTTGGTTATGTGGGTAATATTTTTTTAATATATATAATGAAGCTACCTACATTCAATGGTGTACAAATCTATCAGGGCAAGACCTTTTCTGGACCAAAATTGACCAAAACAAAATAACATTTTTGCTCTGGAATTTGGCAGAAATTCAACATACATACATCCAATACTTCTTGCTGGACCAAGTTTCATTACATGTTAAACTAAACGAATTATGCTGGACTGGACAGAAACGTCTCAAGAAAAGTAAAACCTAAGAGACCCTACAATAAATACTGCAAATTTTATTATTTCCTTACTAATAAGGTATTTCCCATTAAAAACAGAATAAATATTCTCAGTAAATCATATAATTAGCATATATAATTAAAATCTAATTTGTCTAAAACATATTTTAAAACAGTATTTTTAGTAGAGTTCTAATGGCTAAAACTTCATTGTCAAGATAACTGGCTACTATTTCTATGCAGTAAATTTAATCTTTTCATTATTCCCTAAAAATATTAAGCCCACCTCTGATTCTTTGTTCATTCTGTGCTATGTTCTGAAGTGAGAGATCACAGAATCAAATTCTATATCCTATTTCAACCAAAAGCTAAAATTTACTTCAGCACGGTGAAACAAAATATAACCTACTCCCTGTAACTTTCATATGAAAAGAGTTTAAAAGGACAGTAAAGTAAGGAGACTGTAGAGGCAATCAGCTAAGGTTTACCATCCTAAGAACTTACTAACTTTATAGCCTTAAGCAAGTCAGTTACTCCCTTTGCTTTCCTTTTTATCATCTGTAAACACTATAGAATAGTAGCATTTGTTTTATAGACTCAGAATGAGATCGGAAGTACTATACGAACTAAAGTAAGAGTGAGAAAACAGTGGAAAGTTCAAACTATACAAAATAGCATAAATGTATTTCAGATGTTAGATTCAGAGGCCATAGCTTCATTAGACCCTATAGAAGAAATCATTTGAAATGGTTGTGAGAACAGAAGGATTTAAGACAGTTTTCAAGAAGAATGAAAAATGAATATTTGCTGATTAGACACTCTTGGTATTGTGGTTAATACCACATAATACTGTTAGGTCATCCTAACAGTAACAGAGTGAGTAAAATATTTGAGCAAGAAAGACCAACCCAATGATAGGGAAAGACAAATGATAATCTCCCAAAACAATAATCAAGGAAAGGAAGCTAGAGCAAATGTGAGAGGGTATATGCATTTTTTTAAATTATAGCTCAGAATTTTGGGCTTTATCTCAGTTACAATCCTCAAATAAAAATGGTCTGTGCTGAAAGACTCTACCCATCAGGGTATTGAAGCAGATGCTGAGACTCATAGCCAAACTCTGGGCAGAGTGCAGGGAATCTTATGGTAGAAAGGGGCGATAAAAGACCTGGTGAGGACAGGAGCTCCACAAGGAGACCAACAGAACCAAAAACCCTGGGACCAGGGGGCCTGCAGAGACTGATACTCCAACCATGGATACTCCAAGGTCCATGAATGGAGAGGACCTAGATCCCCTGCTCAGGTGAAACGCACAGGCTGCTCAGTTTCCAAGTGGGTACCCTAGTAAGGGGAACAGAGGCTGTCTCCAACATGAACTCAGTGGCTGGTTCTTTGATCAGCTCCTCCTGGGGATGGGGGAGGTCCAGCCTTTCCAAGCCACAGAGGAAGATGATGCATCCAGCCCTGATGAGACCGGCTAGGCTAGGGTCAGATAGAAAGGGAGAAGATCCTCCCCTAACAGTAGACTAAGGGAGGGGCATAAGGGGAGAAGAAGGAGGGTGGGTGGGACTAGGAAGAGACAAGGGCGGGGGTTACAGCTGGGATACAAAGTGAAAAAACTGCAGTAAATAAATAGAGAGAAAGAAAAAAATGGCCCATGCTAAATGAGATATTAGCAACTGTAAAAAACACAAAACATGGTGAACTTCCATTTTATTATGTCAACGTAATTTGTTAGCTTGCAAGGAAACTCTCAGACATTTCACAATTCTAGACATTAATGTGAAACCAGATAGGAGTTAATGCTAATTAGTGCAATCTCCTTAACGAAAAACTGTATGAAAAATTAAAAAAAAAGACATTTCAGTTGATAATATACTGAAAGAACCAGTAGCCTCAAGGCAACAAGGGAAATGCTGACTCCTAAAGAGATAGAATCATAGATAGAACAGCAAAACAAAGGGACTATGGCATGATTAATGGTAAGTCACCAGTGCAGACACTAATGGAAATGAAATAACAGAAACTAATCACAGTCAGTATGGACAGAATACCAAAAGCTCATTCAGTTTCCTAGAACTGAATATATAATACTATTTATCAAGTGAGCAGCAGATTATTTTCCAAAGTCTTGAAATTCTAGGGGAAACTCTATAGAAACATAATTAGAAAGTAATGCAAATGCTTATAGATAACTACAATACTAGGCAACCTTCTTTTTGTTGTCTGGTCTCTTTTTTAAAAAAAATTTCAAGATTTATTTGGTTTTTTTGT